AGCTCTGGGAGGGGGGTGGGGGCTGGTGGTTAGAGCAGGGGAGCTGGGAGCCAGGACTCCTGGGTTCTGTCCCCAGCTCTGGGAGGGGGGTGGGGGCTGGTGGTTAGAGCAGAGGAGCTGGGAGCCAGGACTCCTGGGTTCTGTCCCCAGCTCTGGGAGGGGGGTGGGGGCTGGTGGTTAGAGCAGGGGAGCTGGGAGCCAGGATTTCTGGGTTCTCTCCCGGCTCTGGGAGGGGAGTGGGGGCTAGTGAAGGGGTGCTGTGGGCTGTGGCTGGAGGAGAGGCGGGGTGTGGGTGGGGGGAGGGGGGGGCATTTCTTGGCTTGTGTCCATCTGCTCATGCCCCTTCCCCGTAGAAGCAGGACCGGATCGAGGGGCTGAAGCGGCACATCGAAAAGCACCGGTACCACATCCGCATGCTGGAGACCATCCTCCGCATGCTGGACAACGACTCCATCCAGGTGGACTCGATCCGCAAGATCAAGGACGACGTGGAGTATTACGTGGACTCCTCGCAGGACCCCGACTTCGAGGAGAACGAGTTTCTCTACGACGACCTCGACCTAGAAGACATTCGTAAGTGTCCCGGCCCCCGCAGCGGTGGAGACTGGGGTCCGTGTTCCGCTGATCAGGTCTCTCGCTGGAGGGCAGGTTTTTCCAACCCCTTCGTCGTCCGCCTGGCTGGTCGCTGGGCCTTCTCCAGCTGATCAGCGTCCTGCTTGGGTTAGGGACCCCAGAACCAGAGCCGGGATTGGGGCAGCCGAATCCAGAACTAACCCAGACCTGGACAGGACCCCCTCGTTCAGCCGAACCTTCTGCCCTGCTTCCCGTTCCCAGCCTGGCCGTTTATCCCCCTTCGGTCTGGTGCCACCGTTGTGCTCCAGCATTGCTGGCTCTTCTCCCTCCCTTCCTCTATCTGTGTTGGCCCAGGGCTTCCCAGAGGAATCCGGGCTCCCCTCGCCCGGCTGCCGATCCCTCCTGAGGTCCCGCTGGCCTTTTTCACAACTGTATCCCAGCGGCAGCATCCTGGGGGGTCCGGCCCTGGCGAGCGCTTGGTTTACAGCCG